TTGCAAGTGTTGTATCAAAAGATCTGCTGGTTTATTTGACTCCTTTGCCTGTTTGACTCTGATTTCTGGATTGCACTCTAAACTTGGTTTGATTTGGTTCTGTAAATATTCTTGTAAATATTGTAAACACTAAATTGGTATAGTAAGGAGTCTGACACCATTTCTGTTTGTGAAACTTTTGATCTCTGTTTTGGGTAGTGAACTGTATTTTATTTTCTTTGGGATAGGTAAGGAAGAGGTAAAAAAAAAAAACTAAGAACTTTTTTTTGTTGTTGTTATTTTGGTCTTGTCAGCTCCCGAACTCAAACTCCCAATAAACTCGTTGTTGCAAATTTTTGTCTATGCAAGTCCTTTCATGTTGCGCTTCTTCCCTAGACAGGGCATAACAATCGATATAATCAAAAATAAAATAAAAAATACACACACACACACACATACACATACATATATATTAATAAAAACAAGGGGAAAATAAATAATCATAAAATAATAAAATATTTTCAATCCTGCATATAATCAACACAAATACAAAGAATACATTTATAAGAATGAGATTTTAAAAAATGTTTCCTATTCATCATCATTAACACTCATATTTGTCATTGACCGTTAAACCAGCTCCAGTAGGTCTATCTAAAAGAATACAAAAATCAAGCAATCAATGGCAAAATGACCTGAAATGTTTCAAAGTGTATTTTGTTCCCAGCTGACACAGAGCTGCTTTTTGTGTCAACCTGCATGTAAAGTTGTGTGGGAGTGTCTGTTGTAATCCCCTATTGCGATTAAACATAACTGTTGTGTTGTGCGTGTTGGGACAGGCCAAACCATGTGAGCGAGGCAGGGGGATGCAGAACACGCCCCTTTAAACTCTGTGTGTTCCCTCATGAGCCCCTCACGGACCAATCAAATCCCTATTACACACATCACAGCCATCGCAGCAGATTAAACAAAGGGCCGTCACGCAGAGAGAATTTTATTAGAACTCCTCAGTGTTGTAAAACAAGTGCAGAACGTGCTAGTCTTTTTGTCGATGAAGAAAAGATTTTAACATTTGCTCTGATATACAGGAAAATAAAAGATGCTAACAGTTATAATCAGAAAGATTTTAGAAAACAGGTGCCATCTGTGTAATTCATATAGGTGTAAAAATTAATTAAAAAATAGATAGCTGAAACCAGTTTTTCTAAATATATTTTAACAAAAATCCAGTCACTATATATTTTTTTTGTTTATTTAATCATGAGTGTGCTTTTTTGGCTTGTATCTTAAAAAAAAAATCATGATTTTGTATAATAAACTATAGATGATTGATCAGCATAAGCATATATTGCAGTACATTATTAAATTTATGTGTGTGTGTGTGTGTGTGTGTTAATAATCAAAATGAATAATAAGAATTGAATACTGAGATTGTTTCATAATTTTATTATCATTAAAAATATATACATTTTACAAAATACCTATATCAGTCTTTCTACTTCATGTTGAATTCAATACTTGCCATTTCCCTGTAATTATTTTAAATGTACTTTTTTGTAAAAATAAATAAATAAATAATAATAATAATAATAATAATAATAAAAAAGTCTGCATGAAAACTGTATTGAAAGCTGTATAAATCCTATAATATTTCAATATTATTAGTATATTAATGCTTGTCTAATGCAATTTATTCATCTTAAATTATTTTTAAAACACCATATCAAACCAAAAAAGACACTAGTTTCATACAATGACCCAGAAAACAGAATCAGGCCTGAAAGTGGGAAGAGAATGAACACACACACACACAATAGATGCTGGCACAAATAATTAATGTACATATTTTCATTCTTCACAGTATCACTTTATAAAACACAAGAGAGAAACAAACGAACACACTTTCACTAACGCTCATTAGTACTCTCCCCAAACCACCCATTTGTCTTCCTCCTGTGGGCCCGTTTTTATTAATATTCAGATGTAAACATCAAATAGTGATGTTGTACAGCAAAGTGGGAGTCTGAACATTAAAACAAACTGAGATTTTACTGCGTGTTGGCTGTAAAAATCGAGCTCAGCATGGAAGACAGATGGCAATTTCCTGAACAACAAACCAGAGGCCTGCAAGACATTTACAAGATTATGAGCATGTGGACTCGGTCTTGTTTTCGCTCACGTTGGCTCGGCCAGGGGATCAGAAATGAGCTCAGGGGTTGCTGGGTACATTCACAGGTTCAGGAAGGTTCGTGACAGATACTGCTTTCGACTGCATTGAGAATTGAATTGATCTCTTGGTCTGCTTTGCACAATGTGAGAGCTGCTAACATGCTGTTTTATCATACTGATCCACAGCATAATGACAATATATTATAAATAACTGGGAAAATGCAAATAATTAAACATCAGCACTAGGACTTTTCACTGTTTGCTTCACTTCACTGGTCTGTGTTTATGAGAAACATGCGGATACACTGATGATTTCTCTGACCCATGAGAACACAGGGAGAAATGGAAAGTCCGGATGGGAGAAGAGCTGTGAAATCGCTGCTACTTTATAACGACCAGAATAAAGCTCTAAAAACTTTTCATAATAATAATCAGAAAATCAGTTTCTGATGAATTAATGAGCAATCCCCAAGGCTGCTTTGTAAGATGTTTTTTAATCATTTAAGTGACCGACAACAGTTCTTTCTGGGTGAATCAATAAGTTGGATTTTCTGATTAAAAATGCATGACATACTGTTTTTTAGAAATTCTTTCAAGAAACAGCTGCACCGAGTCCATGACTTTTATTTACAGTATTTTGGATGTAACATGGTAAAGTGATGGTATCAGATACCATCAGTAATATTCTGGTTTGATTTATTTGATATATAGACTACAGGTCAAAAGTTTCAAATAATTTGTTGATTTTTTTATGTTTTTGTTTACCAAGGCTGCATTTATTTGATCATAAATACAGTCAAAACAGTAAAACTGTAAAATATTACAATTTAAAAGAACTGTTTTATATTACAATATAATTTAAAATGCAATTTATTCAAAGTCAAAGCTGAATTTTCAGCATCATTACTCCAGTCTTCAGTGTCACATGATCCTTCAAAAATCATTCTAATATGCTGATTTGCTGCTCAAGAAACATTTCTGATTATTATCAATGTTAAAAACATGTGGTGACTAATATATTTGTGGAAACCATGATATACAGTGGGTACGGAAAGTATTCAGACCCCCTTAAATTTTTCACTCTTTGCTATATTGCAGCCATTTGCTAAAATCATTTAAGTTAATTTTTTTTCCTCATTAATGTACACACAGCACCCCATATTGACAGAAAAACACAGAATTGTTGACATGTTTGCAGATTTATTAAAAAAGAAAAACTGAAATATCACATGGTCATACCCACTGTATATATATATATATATATATATATATATAATTATTTATTTATTATAATTTTTTTTTTTAAATTCATAAATTTATTCAGCAAGTTTGCAATAAATTAATCAAAAGTGACAGTAAAGACATTTATAATATTATAAAATGCTGTTCTTTTGAACTTTGTATTCATCAAAAAAATCCTGAAAACAAATGTATAAGGGATTCCACAAAAATATTAAGCAGCATAAATTGTTTTTAACATTGACAATAATAAGAACCATTACAAATTGAGCATCAATAATAATTCAAAATAACTGTGCACCAAATCAGCATATTACAATGATTTCAGTATATACACACTATATATACACACACTATATATACATATTCAGTATATACACACCCATGGTAACTAGGATTTACACAAGCTTCAGTCTGGATCCAGAACACCTGAGAAGAGATGATGCCAACCCCTCAGAGGACCTCAGATGATGCCAACCCTGAAACAACATACAGAACTACCACATTTTGCTATAAGTTTGATTGCATCATATAATAATTGCTGTTAATAGTGTTCATCGTCTGTTTTATTACGTCTTAAATTGATTTTTCCGTACTGCTGGTTCGTCTGGTCAGAGGAGAACTGGCCCCCCGACTGAGCCTGGTTTCTCCCAAGGTTTTTTCTCCATTCTGTCACCAATGGAGTTTTGGTTCCTTGCCGCTGTCGCCTCTGGCTTGCTTAGTTGGGGACACTTCATTTCCAGCGATACCGTTGACTTGATTGCAAAGATACTATTTAAACTGAGCTGGATGTTGACATCACTGAATTCAATGATGAACTGTCTTTAACTGAAAAATTAGTGTTTACTATTGTCATTTTGCATTATTGACACACTATTTTCCTAATTAATGCTGTTCAGTTGCTTTGACACAATCTGTATTGTTAAAAGCGCTATATAAATAAAGGTGACTTGACTTGACTTGACTTGACACTAGCGGTCATAAGTTTGGAAATTATATATAATAAGAAATTGATAATAATATAATGTTTCTTGAGCAGCAAATCAGCATATTAGAATGATTTCTGATGGAGTAATGATGCTGGAAATTATGCTTTCCATCACAGGAATAAATTTAATTTAATAAAACAGTTCTTTCAAATTGTAATAATATTTCACTATTTTACTGTTTGTAATTCTCTCACTTGGTGTAAAGCCTATTTTAAAGATTATTTGTAAGTTCTTGACAGCTGTGACTATGGACTGTCACTATGGACAGTCATTATGTCCTTGTCTTCAGAACTTCTCTTTTGCTCCAATAAAAATATATATATGGATATGCGAGTTTTGTGACATAATAAGTAAACAAATAACGCCATACGTTTATTTGCCTTTAAACAAAATCAAAAAAATGCTCCTGCTATGGGAGCAGGTGTCAGTATGTGATGTGAGTGGGCGTCTCCCTCTGTCTGTGGCGGGTCCAGAGAGCAGCTTCAGGCAGCTGCCACCAGACTCTGGGGCTCTAAAGAAGATCAGGTATGATCCCTTAAGCCTCTCAGGATCAAGTGTGCCTGGACACTCCTTTCACCTCAAACTTACGGTACAACACTTAGTGAAACACTGAAACCCACTCACCCACTTTAAACTGAGACGCCTGGTCCGTCAGTTCCTGATGGTCTTTCACAAGCATCATGTGCAGAATCCCGAATGAGTTCTGGATGCCGAAAATCGAGCCGTTGCACCACGTAGCAGCGATCACCACGACCCAGCCGAAACCTCCCTCCGGGGGAACGAATCCCGGTCCCGGGTGTGCGTCGGGCGGCGTCGCCGGACGCTTGTCGGGGCAGCCGGTTTGTATCAGCTGCACCGTGCTGTCCTCCGGGTCCAGCTTACGCTCCGGTTCCTCGTACTCCTGCGGGTCTTTGTGCTCCATTGCAAAGTGTTCAGTATGTCCAGCCTGCGGTTCAGTGGTCGATTCCTCCGAACCAGGAATCCCACTCGCTGCTCCTGCAGGGTTTTCATTGCTTTCTGGGTGCATCCTATACAGAACGGATGCAAATATGTTTCCAGAATAACTCTTTTATCATATGTTTCCGAACGGGTGGAAAAGAAGAACAGAAAAAAATCCCCACAAGATCTGAAACTAAGTCAATCTCGTGCCACTTTGCATGGATAATCACTCATAATCCGATCGATAATGCCCAAATCCTGTTATGAGAGATCACTCGTCATAATAAAGCAGCAGGACTTCATGCAAACGGAAGAGAACACAGTGAACGCGCGCTTTAAACCGAGTCCAAAGCTCTTTGCTCTCGGTTCACATCCCTTTTATCGTGCACCGACTCCTCCTCTATCATTTGTTGAATATTTACACCGGATCCCGCTGGGCTGCTCTGCTCACTTTTGCAATGTTACAGTGCAACAGAGAAAAGTTCTAAACCGTTCCGAAACGCTCATTCTGCGAGAGCTATAATGTAACCATTTAACCTTCTAAACAATATCGTCATTAAGCAAATGTTAAATAACAACGTTCTAAACAACGCGAGTGTGACAATGTGTCAATTAAACGTTCTAAAAACAACAACGCGCATTCTGCGAACGTTACAATGCAACATTTAAAAGTTCTAAATAACAATGCAATGTAGCAGTCCCCGTAAACAATCTCCACTGAGCAGATCCCGCTGGAGGAACGGATTTAAAATTCCACCGGCGCAGGATTACGGAAAGAACCGGATACCGGAGACCACCCCCTCCTCTCTGGCTTCAGCCCGTCCCGCGATTGGCCTGAAACAAGGAAGCGCGCGAGGAACTGTATGGATGACGCGAGGAGAGCAGATTTACAGTGTTCTAGGTGCCGAGTCCTGACACATTTACAACCAGTGAAACAGATGAAACCCGAGAGCATCCGGTGAGCATTGCATTTGATTTCCCGACCGGTGTCGCTGCATTTGCAGTGGCAAGTGCGCAATCCATCAATGCTAGTCATAAATCAGACAGTTCCAGATTGGAAATGGGTCAAGGGCATCGTTTTGAACGCTTTCCGCGACCGCGGATGAGAGCTGGCTCGGTGCATATAGAGGCGTGTTTGGGAAGCCATGACGGGTTATTATGGTATTGAGGGGGGATCCGTGACGCGCTTCCCTGTACAGTAATGCTTCTAATGTGACCAGGACACATCCACACATCCTTCCAAACATAGGCATATGTGTACTTCCCTTTTGCAGGACACTATCACGCTTTTAGGCAGATGTTTTTACCCAAAACAACTTCGAAAGTGTTTGAACTATACATTTTTATTCAAATGTATGCTTTTTCATAGTTCACGAGGTTTGCATTGCAAGCGCAACGATCTTTCGATTGCACTATATAAACGTGTTTAAATGCAACACCGAAGCTGTAGAAGTGCACTGCGCGCTATTACTTGGCTTGTATATTTACATACTGACGCTATTCTGTTCCCATCCAGCTGTTTGCTTTCCTTGATTTACGTTAATAATGCTTGAGGGATTTTTATAGATCACAGGTGTATGTATCAGTTAGCGCTGTTGACCGCTAGAGTGCAGCACAGATCAATATATGAGCCCTGATGAAAGGCTCGTGAAACGCACGAGCCTTCAAAATATAATTTGAATGAATAATGTTAGCGGAAGCGATGATTTGATAGCTCTTTTCCTGACTTGCAAGATAACAGAATACAATGGCTGTCATTAAATCATTTGAACCGTAGGGGGCGCGATCAGCAAAGAAACCGCGGTTAAAGACCTTATTGTTTGACTTTTATTTGTTAAAAGTTTGTCTGCAAACGCGCATTAGGGTTTCATCAAAATACCAAAATCATGGTCTTAAACTTTAATTCTTTTATTAGCTGAGATTATTTTAATATATCTGCTTGTAACACTTTTTTTAAATAAATGTTTTAAATATATTTTGTAAATGAATACGTCATAAATATATTTTCTTTATTAAGTGTTTG